TACTCTCTTTATTTGCTTTAGTTTAGTAGATATCTACAAACAAAGAGTCGATATTTTTCTAAAACCATTTAGTGCTTCACATAATAAAATGTACAACGGCTGTAGCCTGGTTATGCTTTAGGAGCTGTAGGTGCATGTGTTACAGTGTGTAGGTGCGTGATGTACAGTCGGTGTTGTACAGTGTGTAGGTGTGGTACAGTGCGTAGGTGCGTGTTGTACAGTGTGCATGTTGTACAGTGCGTAGATGCGGCGGACAGACAATTGGTTTGGTGTCCTATGCTTACTTTTAATACTTGTAAATAAAACCCGTACTTTCAATTCCCCATTTCAGCGACCAGAGAAAGGGGGAGGGGGGGGGGGGGATATATATCTAGTCTCTGATTTTGCTACGTTATTATGAGAGTGCTCTCATACTTGAGAGTATATATATTTATATAAATATATGTGTGTGTATATGTCCGCATCTGTAGCCTGTTATTGTCTCATTATACCGCACTGTGAATGAATTAAAACTAAATATATAAGTCGTCATGAACACATCTGTCCATCAGACAGAGGGCTGCTGTGCCTCCGGTCATCATCAATGGACGTCTCTTTAAAACAGGGGTGCCCACTGTTTTTCAGCTTGGGACCTACTTTTAAAATGACCAAGTCACCGCGATCTTCCTACATTAAAAATGCTAAACATATATTTATTTATATTTATACTGACTATACCTTATCTTGGTGTACCTTGCATAACTGTATCAACCCGTCAAAAAAATATTTCCGGTTTGTTTTTAAAGTCCCGAAACAACGTGTCAGCTGCTTCAACGAATGCCTCTTTTATCATCTCTCCATCTTGGAAGGACTTCTTGTGCTTAATGATGGCGTGACTCACCCTGAACGATGCTTCGGTGGCTGCCTTTGATTTTGAAGTCACCTTTGTGAAAAATGCCTGCTGTCCGGACAACTGTGATTTCAGTTCCTTCACCTTACTCTTTCTCAGCTCGCTTTTAGGAGGGAAGTAGCGATTTGCAGATCAAACAAACGCACTTCGAATATGACATCGTGAACAAATAGTCCTCCTCCCATTCTGGATGGGAGTTGTACGTTTTTTGTTTCTTATACTTGGTCTAGCTTCCCCACTCATTTTTATACCCTTTCTTTAGTATAATAGTATTATTATAATACAATTACCCGCTCTATCGAAATCAGTCGGAAGTAGCAACGGCTCATTTCAAAATAAACGCCGATTTGCGTAAAAAAACTAGCTTTTCGGGGTTCCGGTGTTTTGTTTGACTTTAAATAAACAAAGTCTTGGCTTTCAGAATATGAAACTTTTATTTCCAAAATCACACGATAAATACATTTTTGAAGCTTGTAAAGGGAAGATGCAGCGCCGCCCCCCCTCCCTCCGGCTGAAATTATGAATGTAAGGCGTATAGTAATCATAGATAACACGGCAGGGTCCGTTACAGTTTGTTTTCATCTGATTTCAATTAAACAAAGTCTTGGCTCTCAGAATATTAAACTTGTTTCGGCAAATTCAGATGGGGAATACAACTTTGTAGCTCGTAACGGCATAATTACAAGCGGAGAACGGAATAACTTAACGTCACAGCAGGCATAACAACAGCCGGCGAACGCAAAATTACACAAACACATGTATACGTATACACACACACACACACAAACACACACAAACACACACTCGCGAGCTTCCCCCAGACCAGTAATCCAAACGAAAATATCTTCCCTCCGTAGTATTTTGATCATTTGCTCCGCTAATAATTAATCAGATCGATGGATTCCAGAGAGGAGGACACTTTAAAGGCCTTTTTCTCAAAATTATGACTCGGTTATATAATGTGACATATTTCGCTTAATATTTGGAGTACAAAAACAATCCTGATATCATTAGAAAGCTAGGAATCTCCTCTTTCCAACAGTGTATACAACTCAAAATGTGTCTTCGGGTCAATGCAACTGATTTTGATAGAGCAGGTCACATATGTAGTCTGTGGTGAACCATACCCAGCCTCACTCTTCTTCATGTGTCTCCCCTCCCAGTCGTATAGAGTGGGTGTGGCTGCACTGGGGCGAGTACCTGAAGGCCTACGAGGAGTTTGAGCTGTGGCTGACCAGGCAGCAGCGCAGCCTGGATGTGGGGGTGGAGCTGCAGCTGGGGGTGAAGGAGAAGCTTTGGCAGGTGGACCAGCAGAGGGTGGGGCTGAGCGACATCCAGGGCCAGGCGGCGCTGCTGGAGAGGCTGTTGGACGAGGCCTCCGCGCTCCACAACAGAACCCAGGACCCCAGCGTGGATCCCCAGGCCCAGGAGGGGTTGCAGGAGGACTACAATGATGTCAGAGACAGGGCGGAGGTGAGCTGCTGCTGCTGTGCTCTGACTACTGAGCTGTCACCTACAGCCTGCTGCATACTGACAGAAGGTTTGCGTGTAGAGTTGTGTAGGAATGACACATTTTTGTAGGCCAACCCAGAAGTTTGCATAACAAGGGTTCCCTCGACAAAAAGCTATGGGACTTTTTATGGGCACTTTTATAATTGTTGAAATGTAAATGCAGAAGTAAAAAGCTAACATTTCCTAAATGAAAGGCTATAAGCAAACTACATTACGGTCACATGACTTCACGTCACCACTGCTAAGCTAAAGGCGGCTAATGTTCATCGTGATGACGTTTAGTAGTCTCATTGAGTAACCTGTTAGCAACCGCTGTTTTTAAGACACATAAGGCGCTTTCACACAGCAGTACTTTTCCCACAAAGTTTCATTAGAACTTAGTTCAGGAGAACTCTTTAGTTCTCATGAACTAAGTACAGATCGCATTCACACCGGAATAAGTTCCCTGAGGGAGGATTAGGCAAATGAAGCCGCTGACTTGCTTCTTCTTATTCTGCTTTGGGTTTACTGGCAGGCCGCAAACAACTTCACGTCGTATACTGCCACCCCAAGTCCCGGCCGGAAGTCCCCGGGCGTTGGGGGAGCTTCAGTAGAAGCTGTGAAGCCTTCCGAGTAAATCGCCAGAACACCGACACCTCCTCATCTCCACCTCTCCCATGTTTTCTTTTGTGTTGCCATAAGTTAGTCTTTCTGCGTTTGTGCGCTGGGCTAATGCTAATAAGGCTAATGCGAGGATAATAAAATGGCGGCTTCACAAAACATTTTGGGAGTTTTACGGGGCGTGGTTTGCATTCCGCTCAGCCAATCAGACATAGGAACCTTTGTCTCCTACGAAAGTACCTGCTCTCTAGCAGGGACGGAAAAAGGGGTAAAAAGGTTCTCATTAACTAATTTTAGTCCCGGATCTTTTTGGTGTGAACGCGACATCTCGGAACTAGTGGGAAAGTACCGCGGTGTGAACGCGCTTATAGAAGTGGGGTATGTACTGATGTATTTAATGTCGTAGAACAAACGAGAAAATCTCTTAAACTCATGTTAACCACAGGGATCTAACCAAAAACACATTCATAAAACCATTGAGTTTTACACGAGGGAAATGGAAGTGCTAAAATGTTAACTAACTCATTTCCTGGTTAAGAACTTATTCCTGCACCACTCTATGCTCCCTGCTCCCAGGATTATATCCGTCAGTTAGTTAGAGTTTGATTGATTAATAGTTATGAGTCATCAACACAGATATTGCACAGGATGTATAGTACATGGGTTTGTGATTTATGTGAAAGTGCAAACAAGCAAGCCGGTAGAATAAGACTTTAAGCACAGGAGAAGAGAACACAAACAATCAAAGGACGCAAATCTAAATGATCCATGCACTGAGAACAATTAATCCTAAAACTAAGGATAATTTCTTTGTTTGGTTAAGGAACAGCTTCTGTGTAACAGGAAGAACATAGCTGAAGAAACAATGCCAACTGCTTGAAATGGCGAATATAATTTTGTTGTGGCCACACACACACACACACACACACACACACACACACACACACACACACACACACACACACACACACACACACACACACACACACACACACACAAACCCAGACGTAGCATATTATTCTGCTTACTACACAACAACTTGAATAAATCAAATATCTTATTCAACACATTGATATAAACTTGATTTAATTTATCTATAAATTATATTTTTTGATTGCGCTAAGAAATAGGCAGCGGCGACAGCTACTTAACTTAATATGATATGCACTGATGGAGGTGTTCTGTAACTGTCTGTTCACATTTTCTTTTCCATGAACCAGTCTTCAAACACTGCCAGAACACATACTGTGGCCCAATCCCAAACCGCCCCCTACACCCTACCCCTACACACTCTCCCTCCGTTTGCGCGTTCGCGCGGAGGGTCCGCCACATTAAGTGCTGTTCCAAACCAACGAGTGTGGAGCGGTGTGGAGGGGGAGTGGGCTATCAAGCCCTCAAACAGCCAGTCTGCATTGGTGCTGACTGAAGACCGGTCTCAACGCTGTGTGTGTCCGTAAGGAAACACGCTGTTTACAAGTAGTTCCAGCAAACATCCACTGATAATTGCGATGTTAACAACCTCATGATAGCCTCATATGTTTTAACTTAGGATCATACCTGTGTTTAGTCTAGAAAAAGGTAAATGTGTACATTTTATTATAAAGTTGTGTATATTTACAGACTGTTGCAAAAACTAAGAAGCTTATAAACATCAGGTTTAAAACTAAAAGAGCACAATGAAAGATGTTTGGAGTTTTATTTGAGTAATAAAGGGAGACAGCAGTTGACTGAATAATTTACATTCAGTGAGAGATGCTGAGGGATTAGTCCACACTAACATGCATGTCGGCTGCTTTTCTCCTCCATAAGCCGCATAATGAGACTGCTCTTCCTCTTCCCTTTTCAGACAGCTTTTCTAGTGTCACTCACATTTTACCACACACCCAAACACATTGTTATCTGCATCACACATTCACATAAACACACCAGTCTGATGGCAAATATCTCATTCTGAAGTATGGATTTAAATAATGCTATGTTTTACGGGATAATCTTCACCACCGTCTAAAAATGTAATGTGCTCTCAAGAGTCTATAGTTGAAAAACCAGACGATAGATTTCAGTCTCTCAGAATACTAATTCACACTTTTCGCTCTGATACGCAAATGTGTGTATGTTTGCTGTGAGATGTGTGTTGATTTGAACAAAGCTTTGTTGACATTTCCCCTGCTGTGCTACTGTAGGAGCGTCTGTCGCTGCTTCAGAAGATGGCTGAGGAGCACCAGACATACCAAGGCTGCGTTCACAGGTTCCAGTCCTGGCTGCTGTCAAAAACCAAAGAGCTAACTGATCTGATGGAGAGGGAGGAGACAGCGGAGAACAAGCTCAAAGCCTTACAAGTGAGACACATTCAGATGAATTAAGAAGCATGTATCTAAACCTGTCCTTTTAAACGGGAGAAGGGAAAATATGGTATTTGGAGTTGAATGAATATTGGAGTGGTGCAGTGATGATGTTTTTTTGTAGCCAGACCTATAAGTTATTAGAGCAAGGGTCCCCTCGACAAGAAGCAATGGGATTTTTCCATGGATTCTAGAATATTGCAAAAATAAGATAATCGCAAACACGTTTCTGATTTTTTTTTTTTGCAGGATACTCTCCACATATCAATACCACTTTAGGACTTTTGAAGCTAAAAAAGTCAAAGGCTAACATTAGGAACTACTTCACAGTCACATGATTGTTGTCACCTTCGATATGGTGGCTAATGTTCGACCTGATGACATTTAGTAGTCTCATTCAGTCCCTTGTTAGCAACCAATGTTTTATGACTCCATACACGTGGGGTATTTACTGACATATTTTATGTAGTGAAGCAAATACCGGTACTTAAAATCTCTTCAGCTTGTGTTAACCACATAACTTATTTGAGGCATCAAACCAAAAGTACATTAGAAAATCAATTAACTTTGAGAACAGGAAGGGTTAAAATGCTGACCTCATTTACAGGTTTTGTACTCTTTAAAAAAGTAAATATAATTATCGTCATGGTGGATCAAGACATACAAAGAGCATAAATGGATCATAAGACCAATAAGTGTTGGTTATTTAGCATTAGGGATGACAGCAGAACTTGTTAAGACACATGTATAACACTACATCATTCTAAATATAAAAATAGGAATCCTATCTTATCCAAATGTTACTGTACAGTGTATATTTCAAATGATGTCTGTCTTTGTTTTAGTGTGATTACAAACCATTAACACAGGCAACAATGTACACTTTTTACCGTCATTATTATTTTTGACAACTAAAATTCATAAATGTATTTCCTTTAATAATATATTTAAAGTATAATTTTAGGTAGCACAGATTACACATTTAAAAAAATATCCGTGTACCAAATACAATCCTCAAATAATAATTTTTAAAAAGGAACATTTTCTGTGAACATAGTTGTGCCTGATCCTTCCAGTTTCTGGCTGACATGTAAGAGCATGCCGAGTCACTCTGTTAGGCAATTATAGCTGTGGATGTTATAACACATGAAAAAATCATTGAACATGCACGTGAATAAATTATAGCGAAATTGCCATGTGAGGTAGTTCCACTTTTTTGGCAACTAGCCTTAATTGTTAGGATTTCAGTATTCACAAATATTTAATGTAAAAAAACATCAACCATGAAACCAAGTTGTAGGATATTTTTTCCATCTCAACCTTCTAATCCAACACCACTCATCTTTATCTCCTGCTGTGCCAGGCTCTGGATGACAGTGTGGCGGGAGAGGAGAAGACCCTGCAGCAAATCGAGGGGCTGTCGGAGGCGCTGAGGGGCACCACCTCCCCCTCTGGGGCGGAGGTGGTGGTGGAGGAGGCGGAGGAGCTGAGGCTGGGCTGGCAGAGGCTGAGGCAGGGTCTGTGTGAGGGTGAGGAGGGGCTGCGCTCCAGCCTGGACTCCCATAGTCAGTACACAGCCCGCTGCCAGAGACTGGGGGAGGACATCGGACACCTCAGGGTGCTGCTGCAGGGCCTGGACCAGGAGCTGGGGGAGGGCCAAAACCCCCCCGACCACACCGAGGAGCAGATGGTGGGCCAGTGGAGGAAATACACGGTACGTCTTCTTAACATATCTACAGTATTATTGAGTTAAAGAGGCCCTATTCTGCTTTTGAGGTTTTCCCTTCCCTGTCGTGTGTTCTATAGGTTTTTGTGCATGTCAATGGTCTGCAAAGGCTGAAATCCCTGTGTTCCCTCCAGAGGGAGTTTCTCTCAGGTGTATATTTTAATAAGGCGAGACTTATTTTTGGATTTAATTAATATTTATTTACAAGCACAAGATGATAGAAATGTGAAAAGTCTCATATCAACTCTACAATGTCCATTTCACAGTTAAAATAATTGTCCAACTTTCTTCCTAATGCAGCTTGCGTGTCACAAGAACGTGGATATCTTCAAAATCTTTAGCGAAAGAGTCTTTCAAGACATCCGCGGTTGTTTAGTTAAAGAGTGAAGCAGAATGAAGTGTTGAACAGTGTCGTGTAAAGTAACAACGTTGTCTGATTTATATAATCATATGCGCGGGCCGCTAGTGTCTGTTGATCTCCAGATTAACAGCAGCATGAGAATAACCGAAAGTGCCGATGCTCCATGGCGGAGGCTCCGGTAGAAATTGCCGGGATTTGCGTTTTTACCCCCTTAATGTCTGACCAATGGTTGAACAGCATTTCCGCACACATGACTTGTGTTTAAAGTTTATAGTCCGTTTGAGTTTTGCCTGTGTGAACGCAAACCGGACCTTCTGAAAAATGAAACAATGTAATAAACTGTCGTCTGGTGCGCACCAGATTAGCGGACTATTTGGTTGCGAATGCACCCTAAGAAAAAGGTCAAAAAAAGGCATCGATCTCACCAACCTAGGGGGCAAAAAAAAACCCGGCTCTCACTGTTTGCTGCTCAATCTTTACCATCCTCACACTCCATTTGTCTCAATTTCCCTTTAGCAGATCATACAAAGATCTAAATGCCCCTTTAGATGGCCCCTTTAGGACTCGGGGGGGGGGGCGGGGGGGCGCAGAGGCTAGTTGGAATTAATTTCAGTTTTCCCGCACTCTTGCGGGAATATCTCCGCAATGGAGCGAAGCTAGGTTTCACCTTCGATTGCATGATAATAGCCGCGCACA